CGCATCACTCTAACTGGAAGTAGGTTAAAAAGTTCTAAAATTAAAGAGAATGAATCAAAATGTTACATACTTGGTGCCAGAATTCAAGTCTACTTTGGTTATACTTTTCATGTCACCCCGTAGAGTTCTATACAGAGATACCACCAGAATAAGAACCCCTGTGTCTCACGATTGAGGAACACGTGCACGTGGCGATATACTCTCTCAAAAGGTTTTTTTTAACCCTTCCTTTAATCCCTCTGAACACCTAGACTGAAACAAAACCGATGGGGGTCCGTCATATTACTCATTCTATTCTCTAAGTAATCTCTTTACCCGTACGCGTGAACCAAGAGACAAAGGAAATGAGAGCCTCCCCTACGTGTTTCATAATCGGACGAACAGTTTAAGGGCTTCTCATCCGTAAAGTACTGAGGCTCAATAATTGAAATTGAAATTGATGTATCGAACCGTCAGAAGTTGCTTTAAAAGAAAGTAATCTTCCTCCGTCTAGCACTTCGTTAAGTATTTTCTTGTGTCCTTCTCCTTCGAAACCTCACGGTAATTTCTTTGAAGAGTCGTCCTTAGCTTGACCACTCCTACCATATCCCAGCGGAAAAATATTGTCAGCGTGAAGGACAGTGTTCAATTGATGTGTATTCCAAAATGAAATAATGAGAGGCTGCCGGAAAGAAAACAAAAATACTTTAAGGCATAAAACGTTACATATTATAATATACATGGTGTTCTAGACCATCCATACCAGTTTTTTTTTTCTTGGTTATTTTAGGTCGGTTAATGTTTAAGGCCGGGAATTAAAATAGGGATTGGATTTAAGGGAATGCTTTTAATGATGAGATAGAAATAGTAGCTCCTCTTTTGCGAAAATGTAGCTTTCACAGACAGTGTCTATGTAAGACACATCCTCATTAATCCAAAGTTTATAGTTGGTGGCGAGTGCGAGGACTGCGAGGCTAACCGCAAGGACTTATCATTTCAACCACTTTCATTTTTTCTCGCGGTTTGCCTTGTAGTCCTGAATTTCTAACCACTTCCATGATGACACTTTGCACGATTTTCAACACGAGGTTGTATCTAAAGTATTCTGTTAGGATCTGACAACCTGTTGTAAGAATCGGACGGAGTCCTGCTGCGTGGTTAATAGAGCAAAGTTCTGTCCAAGAGTTTCTTCCGCGTTGCGTAGCGTTGACCGAACATGGTATTCTCGATCAGATCTCTGTTTTGTCCCCCTGCTACTTGGCGCGGAGTTTAAATTCCCCGTGACAGGGAAGCGTCTCTGCTTTCGAATACTATCCACCAGACTTGGATGTATCCGTTAAAGGCATAGGCGTGCCTAGGTCATTTTGCTGGAGGGACTGTATGCCCCCTAGCAAAATACACTAATGGATGTAACGCTCAATGTCGAATTTTTTGACTCCTCCGCCCTCTTATTATGATTCTGTGACGTAGGTACCAATTAAACTGATTATTTTCCAAATTCCAAATCACGTAAGCGCCAATCTCTGTTTCGGTGGTAGAGGAGTTGTTTTTTCTTCGTTTTCTCTGATATAATCAATCCTGTCAGATTTCAAAATACATATCGACTGTTTGGTGCAATGCGTGAAATATTCCTAATGTCTTGCAGGCTCTAATATACGTTTAACGCTGGCTGCACGCTGCACTGTGTTTGGCTGTAAGTGAGCAATCACATAACTCGGTTTGCGACGTCGCAGACTTCCTGTCATACTTTATTTTTTAAAGGAAAAACTACTCAACACCATTTCTTTAAAACTGCCGTGATTTTTCTTCTCTGTGCGAAGAAATCTCTGCATAAACTTCAAGAAATGATGTCAATTTGTTCTCCTTTAAAAAAATAACATTGAGGCGGAGATTTTCAGACACCGCAAACGAGTTATGTGATTGCCGACTTACACCGTCGATATGTACATTTTTTGGAATTAAAAAATGGCCAATAAAGCGGTTAAAACGGGTTCTCTTGTTTTCCTCGCACTCTAAATTTGGCGCTTGCGAGATTTGGAAAATAATCGGTTCAATTCTTCCACTTGTAAAAACAAAATGGCGTAAAGTTTTCCTCGACCCCCTCCCCATGAAGCGTGACGTATGACGTATGGCCTCTTACTAACTTTAGCTTACAAAAAAGTCACAGCTTACAACCGTGAAAGCACCCTAAATTCTATGCAACAGTGCTTAATATGCAACCCAAAGNNGGGGGGGGGGGGGGCGTAGGCTGTGTCACAAAACAAGTTAAGTGGTTTCTCTTGGTTTTACCGCCGATGCTCTTGCGTCGTTTTTCCGCCGCACGGGATTATGATTTATCGATAATATAACGACCCGGCAGCAGATGAAAACTCGCCTGCGCTCTTATCGGCGAGCGGCCATAAACCGAATTGTTTATGGCGTTAGTTGCGGTCCGATTTATGACCCGGGAAGCATCCCGAACGCCACTCGCAATTTCGAAATTGTGGGGAAAAGTTCCCTCAGGGCCAACAGTAAATTAATCGATAAATTCCCCGGAAAGTCGTAACGATGTGGCTATGTTGCTCTCGTCTATCGCTTCCCCGGGAGTAGACTGCGGTTTCTCGTGATGGCGGGATTTCGAAGTCGCGGACGAAGAGAATTTTCTGACCTTCTCACCACACGCAGTTTTCCAGAGGGATAAGCGTAACTGCCAGTAGCATAACGTGTGCGATATATCGATTTATCTGCCATTTAAATCTATGGTAAAGGATCGATAGACAAGATGTTCGCAAGAAACATCTTAATAATCGATTCTTCGCCATTGCTTCAAATGGGAAAATATCGATAATCGATCATTCGCGCCTCGCCACTGCGATAAAAAATGCATTTCTGAGGAAATGTAGATATAACTGCGAATAAAATTCTATTAAAAATTAAAAGAACAATTGAATTTCATATTGCAAAAAGGAACCAGGATAATCCCAATGTTGCTAGGATCGTGCGACTTACATACATGGTGATAAAATCACTGAAACCTTACAAAAAATTAAATTTACAAAAGTAAGTTTTGTATTGAATTTATAGTTTTTTGGAGTAAAGATAAAGCTTGTTTAGGTGATCATTTCATGTTTGCAAGTGAAAAAAAGTTGCACAATCTTAGCGACAATACTTGTGGTTCCTTTTTGCGAAATGCAATCCAATTGGATTGCATTGTACCGGGAGGAACCAATACCAAGAACATTCCAATATCCCTAAGATTGTGCAATTTTTTTTATTTTGCAAATGTAAACAGATCTTTTAAGCTTGTTCTATCTCCACTCCTACTAAATTATGCATTTAAGACGAAAATTACCTTTGCATATTTAATTTTTTTCTTTCATGATTTCAATAATTTTTTGCTAAGAATATAAGTCGCATAATCCTAACAAAATTGGAATTCTCTCGGTTCCATTTTGCAAAATGCAATCCAATTTCCCCAAGTTTTCCACAAAATATAGCGCATTTTATCGAAGAAAATTCGGCAACAGCTGAAGGTTCATACGGCGTTCTTCCTTACTGCCATGCTAAGGAAAAACGCCGTAAGAACCTTCGAGACTTGCCAAATTTCCTTCGATAAAATGTTTATTTTTGAGGAATGTTATGAATATTTTTCCTTTAAATTTTCAGGAACTCAAGGTAAAATTGCAAACAAAATTACACGAAAAATTGGAAGAAAAATCTTGACAACTTTTCTCGAGAATTCATGATTTACCAAAAGAAATTTGGCAACGCCTGAAGGTTCATACGGCGTTCTATCTCAGCACGGCAGCGTAAACCCGTGGCCTTGAAGCGGCGGCGACAAAATGGTCAACTTGCCAGAGCGAGTGGGCTTTTCGCGCTGAAAGGCGAGCTGCCCGTATTGTTCGGTTCACAATGCGGGCAGCACAGGGCTCCGCGGGAAGTGGGCAAAGGGGGGGCTAAGGAGGGCAAGGGGGGGCAAAGGGGGGTGCTCATTACCGGGAGGCGCGGGCGTGGAGGTGGATCTGGTTCGTGTAATTGCGGTAATTGGTTCGAATGTCGATCCCCGATTCTGATTCCGATCTTCGCTCGATTGACATAATTCTCCGTTCGAGAACCCCGCGCCACCCGCCCTCTCTTCGGAGCGGGCCTCGGCCAGTGCCAATGTCAAGAGTCGCGCTCGGCCGCGGCGCCGCGCGCGCCCTGGAATCGGGCTCAAAACGTAGACTAGACCCTGTTCCTGATAACAGGGTTGCCACAGTCAGGGAACACCGGGAAATTCTAGGGAATTTAAAAGTTAGGGCGAACCTGGAAATGTCAGGGAAAATTTTTGAGTCCGTAGCTCGCCTTAAAAATATATATTTTATCAAAGGAAATTTGACAACTCTCGAAGGTTAATACGGCAGTATTGCAGGATTGCCATAGTCAGGGAACATTGGAAAATGTCAGGGAATTTTAAAAGTCAGGGCAAACCTGGAAATGTCAGGGAAAATGTTTGAGTCCGTCGCTCGCCTCAAAAATATATATTTTATCAAAGGAAATTTGACAACTCTCGGAGGTTTATACGGCGTTTTTCCTCAGCACGGCGCAGTATGACCGGGTTGCCACAGTCAGGGAATACCAGAAAAACCGGGAAATGTTAGGAAGTTTTGAAAGTCAGGGAAAACGACGAAAACGTATTTATTTTAATTTATTTGTTTGTTATAATATTATTAAGTTGAATTATGTTGGTTTAATAAGTCCCAAAATGTGTTTCAATTATGGGAGACAAAAATTTTGTGGTTTCAAGCGATTTTTGAAAACAGGCGCTAAATCTTTCGACTTGATTTCCCAAACGCGACTAAATAATGAGCGTTGATTTCCTTCTGCTCAATTTGATACAGAAAATGGAAATAGTGTCTTAGATGATGCCAGAGTAATATACCTATTATATTAGTAAGATTCTTGAGAATTTACATTTTGTGCAATGTATGCAGGTTTTATTCTAATATCTGATTAGAACTAAAATGATTTGAAACTAATGTTGGTGTGTTTCTTTGTTACAGAATAAACTCGTCGGATTTTATACTCTCTCACGGTATGTTGTCTTCAATAATAATTTGTTGGTTTTTAAAAGTACGCATGCAAATTTTAAATATTAAGTTTGCCCTTTCTAAAGTACTTGGTAAATTGCCATCAGGTGGAATTGCAACTATGCGGCGTAATGTATTTCGGGTGTATGAATGATTTATTACAAATCTTGACCACTCAGATAATTATTTTAAAAACATCGGAATATCTGTCTCTAACTTCAGCACTAAGCATGTTCAAGCCAGAAATTATCATAGAAAATGTTAAATTAAGGCCAAAAAAATGTGTTTTTCAATGTGCCACCAATATTTATTTTCATCAAAATCGGTCTGAAAGTTGAGAGTCGTATTTTTACATTTATTTTAAGGGTTTGTGGGTAAATTTTTTGTCACCCACACGAGATGATTTCCTTCAATATACTCGGCATATGAGATTGAGAGTGATCTATTTGAAACACACCTCGAAGTTATGCCTCACTATTGCGCGACATTTTTAATTTCAAATGTCACCAAAGGCATCACGAACTTTCTAGAGCAAAGGCATAGCCAAGATCCAAAGCATTTTAACAATTCACAAAATGCCTGCTCTGGAATTTCAATGTATCCGAGGTCGCCGGTGGTCAAGATCCTAGACGTTAACCTTTACCTTCACTTTAGTTTGACCTGCCTTCAATGTCTCACGTGAGAACCGAACTTTTGTTTGGGCAAAATAAATATAAATGTATCCTAGATTGAGCCTTTGATTGTGCAAATGTAAACCACCATCGTGGCTCACATAAAATTTGAGATGGGTCATTTTTATTTTAACGCTAATGATCCGTTACTAAGTGATTTCTCCGATAAGCTCCAAAATCTCTCCGATTGATCCGTCTCGCATCTAGTGGCGAGGCGTGAATGATCGATTATATTATCGATATTTCTCCATTTGAAACTATGGTAAAGAGTCGATTTTAAGGTGTTCGATACAAACAACCTGTTTATCGATCCTTTCCCATAGGTTTAAACGGCAGATATTCGATGCATCGCAAAGCACGCCACGCCACTGCTCACATCCGCGTGGGGTGTTTTATGCCCGACCGTGATTTCTCACTCGTTTTATTCAAATTCAGCTCGTAAATTGAGCCTTGAGCTTTGATTGCGTGGGAGAAGTCGCAAATTCGGTGAGAAATCGATGGCCCGACACATCAGAATGGAGCTTATAAAAGTATACATTTCCATAGAGAAATCGAGGGGAAGTATATAGTTTCTCAGATAATCCTAAAATATTGGTTATTCTCGACTCAACTCTGTCCATATGTTTTCAAGTCGTGCACGGGTCAAAGTCGCCATCTTTCAGCCAAATCAGCGCCGCAGAAAAAAAGGACGCGCATAATTTTCATTCTGCTGGAAAGTTGTCGTGATTCATTCATCACGTGAATCTCGGATAACACCAAAGTATGTTTATAAAATGGTCATCTTGGAGTGATGTCAGGTTCATTATTGTAAGAGTGGCGAAAATAGGCGTTAATTCAATTTTATGGTGGTAATTTTGTCACATTTGAATCAATCAGCCATTCAACCAGGAAAGGAGTCGTAGTTATGAATTGATTTTGAGTGGATTATGAATTGATTCTTGTTGCGTGGAAAAGTTTTACTGCACACAACCTTGCAAAATCATTTCCCTCGATTTTCTCCCCACCCTTTTTCTGAACATTAAATTTTTAAATTTGCCAGTGACAAAGGTAGTTCAAGATCTCTGTCTGAAGATTATCTCTGCAGAAACTACAACTGCTTAAAAAAGTAAAAGATGCGGCCGTAATAATGCCAGCATTTGTTTCCCAGTGTCGTCAAATTGCAGAAACAAAGAATAAAATGTGTCTTATTAAAGAAAATAGAACTATGCAGAGCTGAACTTGAGACATCTCATGTTGAAAAATTTCACCTAGGTTTTCCGTAAGCAAGCCATGAACAAAAATACTTTGGTTTCTTGTACGAGTTGAAAATTAGCCCAGAAATGTCAACTAAAAATTGTACTGTTTTAAATAAGGGATTCGCTTCATCCAAATAAACGGACACTCAAGAAGTCTTCTTCGTAGCTACTTGACCAATGAAAAGAATGGCCAAAATTAATAAACAACTAATTTACAAATATTCCGTGGATTTGCCTACAGTTTGAAAATGCACTTTTCTCCTTTTCTTTTTTTGTAAACTTCTAATTGTGACGTGAATTAAAGTTTGGTTACATTAGAGACCCTTGTTTAAACAACTTGGTTATAACGATGCGATTGAATCATATTTTTTCAAAAAGGTATACAACTCTTTCCCCCTGGTCGATTTTTGAATCCTTATCGAATGATCTTGATCGATTTACAGAATTGTGAAGATAGGGAGTTATATCGATCAACTTCATTCGGTAACGATTCAAGAATCGACCCGCCGGTCATTTCAGAAACAGCGTATGTGTCATCAACTATCCTCTGCAGATGGATGCAACTATGGATGAACCACTGCGCCAGGAATTGTAACTTCAAATTGAAAAATGTAGTGCAATTGCATTCCAATGTTAAGAAATCACTCCATTAGGTCAGTTTTAGTGACAAACTCACATTCCCTCGCTCGAAAATTCATCCGAATTCTATAACCTAACAGCAGCTTTACCTGGAGCTTTCTTCCACAATTTGGCACCTGGTCGGGGTTTAATCCTCCAGCTGACAAGCACGGCTACTTAAAGCAGCTCCTGTGTGTTATAATCCTCCGTCGGATTGGCGCACAGTGGAAGTGGCCACCAGAAGATGGGATTTTTAAGTAAAATTGCAAATTTTGATGTTTGTATGGGCAAATTTTAAATTTTAATCTGCAAGAAATCGTGAGTGGCAACCAATGAACAATTTTTTAACCTCTACGTCTCTTAAAAATGGAAATATGAGCTTTTTAAGTTTTACACTTTGTCCGACCTCAAATCTCATTAATCCGATCCAGTGTGCGGCGGGCTCTGGTTGACATGAGGAGTTAAAATATATTCCTCTAGTTTTCGTAGGAGCCTTGCTTACAAGAGATTCCAACGGTCATAAAAGGCAACAAAGTATAATGAATAAGACAGGAGCTTAGATCGCGTGACGACAGAAGGAATGGCATCCATGAGAGGCACGTGGAATACCTACCTTGCCTGGAAGTTGAACCATCTCGCGGGTCATTAAATTGGTTTTTCTTCGTGCCTACGAGATGAGCCGTCAAAGCATTAGGAGATGCAAGGTGCACGCGGTAGAAAACTCTAGATTCCTTTTGTTTACTTTGTAAATCCTCACAAAGAACATTTGACCGGTCGGTTCAACTTGTGACTGAAACACACTTGGAATATAATGATTTGGCACGCATAGGCGAAGCCAGCAACATGGCAACACCTGATTTCCTCCTTTTAAAACTATGTTAAATAATCGATTCTTATTGGAGCACCTGGCCCCTCCGGAAATCGATACATTTCCATTGGTTTAAATAATATAATAACGTTGCCAATTTGCTGGATCCGCCAATCGGCACAAGTACTCACCGTTCAGAGAGAAATACTTGTTCTTAGGTTGATTTCGGGCAGTGAAGCGAGTAAGCTCGATCCGACCTAAATTCTGTGCATAATATTGTACGTTTTTTGTTAGCGCAGAAAACAAGGGTAAACCCGAGAAACCATAGAATCAACTAGAAGCGTAAATTACTTCAGATTTCCCTAACTCAGAGTACCCGAACTTGTGCGCGATTTTTTCTCTCAGTGCAGTGCGAATGATTCGGTTCAACTCTTGAGCGTTCATAGGGCATTCTTGGAAGTCTAATAGAAGAAGGGCTACATTTCTACACCGCGTTGAAGTCTCCAAATTTCCAAGCTTAACCTACACACGGAGAAAAAAAAATCGTGCGTGAGACCCGAAGTTAAGGTCATACGGATCTCTGAAGTTTTCAGATTGAGCATCTGAACACTTTAGGTCTAGCTGTCGAGGTTCGAATTACACATCTGAAACTTCAGTTCTTACATCTGAAGTACTTCGGTTTTCACATCCGAAAAACTCCAGTTATCACATCCGAAAAACTTCGGTGCTCACATCTAAAGTACTTCAGATGTAAAAACTGAAGTTTCAGATGCTCAATCCGAAAACTTCAGAGATTCATATGACCTAAACTTCGGGTCCCACGCACGAGGTTTTTTTCTCCGTGCATTCTTAAAACTTTTTCTATGTACTTTTCGAAGTTTTCAATGTGCGGTTCCCTTGGAGAATATCTCTTCCGAAGTATCATCAATCTGTAACATGGTATAACTGTACCTATTTGCTTTATTATGAGGGGCCACATTCAGCTCTATTCAGTGTATGGAGGACTGCAGCCTGGAACGACAACCTCGTGAGTAACTGCGCGCACAGTGAACTCAATAAAGTAACAACGATTTATTGTTCCGTACGATTATTCGTTTGATACCGTCAGCAGCCGCAACGATTCAGCTGCGCAGCGCTATCTACCCGCCTGCCTCTCAACTACTCCTTGCAATTCCTCCCTGAAGCAATGTTGTCAAATGTCGTATCATGATTTTGTGGATGGTTATGTGAACCTCGAAGAAACTAACAGGGGAGGATTGCCAGTTCAGCAGTTGCTCTCATATCCAACAAGCCTACAAAGTTTAACTATCCACTTTGGATTTTTAGTTGAAAAGGCGAGAGACTTTGATAATCATGGATGAGTTGAGAGAAAAAAGTACTACAACTGAGGGAGATCAGCAGTGACCTCATTTGTCTTAAGTTCATGGTGACTTTTATCGAGAGTATTCCGTGAAATTTTCATATCCGTGAAAATTTCCATCGAGTGGAATCGGTTTAAAGAGGGGAAGATCAATTTCCTATTGTTCATACCCTTAATTTCTTTGAACTTTGAGGCCGTAGTTTACCCGCTACTCCTTGTCCTAAAATTGACTTAAACTCTCCGCCTGATGTTGATGTCCAGTTTTAGGTCGCAATTAAATTTAGGTTTTAGTTTGGGTGCGGATGCTTTCTTG